TAGATGTAGCGATGGTTATATTTCGGTTAAAGTGACATGTCTTTGTTAATCAGAAATGGTATATATATCATGCCAACCACTGGTATTGAAACCCGATTTTTAGTGTTATTAGCCCTCAGACCTTCCGCTGAGCTACCTAGAACAAATCCCTGGTCGCTTAAAATACCAAACATTTACATGAAAATACGAAACACCTTAAATAATGCTCTACATCTGAACATAAGAAACGGAAGGTTTTATATATGTAGTAAAACTACTATTAACAGATATTTGTAAAAAGTAATATAATTTATATATTTATCTACTTATAAGTTATTTTTAATGTTTGGTATAAAATTGATAACACTGAGTAATGTGATACATCCGTTATTTCAGTTCAAATATTTCATCCAAGATGAGAAAACACTGAAACCAGTCCAATCAAACCTTAACGGTTATCTAAAAACCAAAAACATCTTTTTATTGAACTTATATCATAGAGAGTCGATGAGTTTTAGTTCCAGTCTGTGAATTTATAAAGAACAGATATTATCAAACAAATAAGACAAAATACCTAGTACGTTGAAAGGTTGAATGTTATCATGCATAAACCAAATTTTGGAAATGAATTTTACCTTTCAAAATGTAAAACCTATACATGCATATAGAAGAGAGAATTATAATGATTTTGAAAATATCTCTTCTTGTTCTTTTGCTGTTATTCTTGTTTACAAAGTGATCGTAGGTATTTACGGTAAGATGGTAGTGATCGAATTTCAAGCACTGCCATGGTTAGCCTATACGATCACCTAAGTCTAATTAGTAATTAGCCACTAATATTTTTTCCTCTTATTCATTAATAGCTATATACTATTTACTAAGTTTCTACGTTTCGACTGCTACTCTGCTGCCGCCTTCAGAGAAGTCCTGTTATGAAATATTTCTTTGATGATGGTTGTAAAGTTGGAGTGTAATCCGCTCGTCTGGGATGGTAACTAATTAACAACTAAACTTTGTGATATATCCGCGCCAATGAGAAACGATCCTTATGATTCATGCCCTTCAATTTGTCATATCCTTCTGGAGTCTTTTGATTACCTCAACTGAATCTACTGATCACTTTGAAGTGCATCCTATTCTATACACGTTAAGGTAATCTCATAAATGAAAAGCAACTGACTGGGTCGTTTCAACCCACTTATTGAATCTATTCCACTGCATGGTCAGATATTGAAGCCTTATATGTGTAGTTTGTTCTCTTTGATCCTCTCTCTATTACCAAGATCATAAAATACATAACATTGTATTTCATATTATTTTAAGAGTAACTATCTTATCTCTACTAAAATCATAATAATGCAGTATAACTGAGAACCTGATAGACCTATGAGTAAAATGATATGAGAACCTTTGACGAATATTTGTCCATACATTACTTTACTTTAGTTTTTTAGTAGGTTTAATGGATAGATAGTCTTAAATTAAGTCAGTAGACTTCCCTACTGTATTTTTTAAGTATTTGTAAACGCTTTCTCTTTTGAATCTTATACATAAATACTGCTATCCCCATATTCCTTTTACTGCGTTTGAAGTTCACTGTTTTTGATGGACAAGTGTATAGACTGTTGAAACGAAAAATGTTCCATGTTATTAAAATGCTTTTGATTTTTTTTAGATATTCTTGAACAAAAACTTTGAAAATTTGAGCATCCTGTCTTATACTCAACGTGAAGTTTATATAATGTTTCAACTAATACATTTTATTCGTTATTTTACTAAATAAATATCGTTCATAAATAATGTTCAACAGACTGGTTTCATAATATTTAAACTAAATCAAATATAGATTGTTTTATTTTTAAGAGCAGGAAGTATTAAGGAAATCGGTAAAATCGTTTATGCACGAAGAGAATGAAACAATGAATTCTATTTATATGATAGAACTAGATACTTTTAGTAATAGAAAAAAGAAACTTGTTCTTTATGACAAGTTTCAAAGATCTGGCTAGTTTCTTTCCATGTCATAATAATCAAATTTAACATTATCTATACAGATAGTTGAGTGCGCTACAGTAAAACGATTTTGAATATACAAATCAGAAAAACATACGACACCCACAATCGATATAAAGCTGCGGTGAACTCAGATGTGTTCAGATCGGGATTTAGAATTTTCAAGACTGGAATATCCCTCGTACCTAATGACATTGGAAATATGTATCAACTTGGTACAGTAAGCCCATTCAGAATAAGACCTGCAACAAGTTGGACTGTTGTCGTGGTAATCAAAGTGCGGTATCTTCTATCAGATGAGAATCCACAAACACAAAAATGAGAGCCAAAAGTATCTTAGGCAACGGTACGTAACATAGTCTAGACGTATCTCCCTCTGGAAACGAAACAAAGAGGGTATGAATTCGCAAAGATAATGCTTACACTAATACCTCCCATTAAAGTATTACCTGGAGAATGAAACGGATATTCATGCTAGTGAATATGAAAACATTCCAATCAACTCGCCGGACAGCCGGACGAAGCGCCTATAGATATCAGTGCGATCGAGCTATTGAAATGGGTGCTAGTAAATCATCATCCTCATAAAATAGATAAATTATGAAAAGCATGCAGGAAAGAGTGGAGGTTTGGACATGAAAGTCTTTTAGCAGTGGAAACTACACTGCAGGGCTAATTGTCAAGATGTACGATCAACAGAAAAAGCATGATCGGACGTGACGACATGGACCGTAACGACGAGATGGGGCTCCAAAATCGTTTTGATATAACATACTTAGCCTCAGTATGAGAGCTTTCTTACACGTAAGCTTCCTTTCATGTAATCATGAAAAAGTATAGTTTCAATGCTCCAGTGAAAAAAGTTTTATGAAATAAGAAAACAAATATTTTACTAGTAGATATCAAAGAGTTATGAAAGCACTTAAGGTTTACATGTTTACAGCCAGCTTCAGATTTTCTGACTGTATCCTTTTTACATGTAAACAACAGTGTGTACCTTAGTCTAATGCTGCAATTTAATGAGTTCAACCATCTCTATGAATTTCAGAATATAAATCAATTTTAAGATTTATAATAAGAAAACACAGTTATACATTTTAGATACATTAATATATCGTATGCATAGACGCAAAAGTAATGATAACTTAAACAATGGTAGAGGTCTTTCATTACAGTGCAATTCAGCCTAAATTACAAGTTTAATTTAAAATAGCTTTATTTCTTTTTTTGTAGTTAAGCACAAAGCTACACAAAGGGCTGTCTGTGCTGCACCCACCACGGTATCAGACAAAACACGTTATATTTTGTACTCTGATCAAACTGATAGTTCTTTTGCCAACACTCTCAGATTAAATAGTTCTTTTTGAATGACCTATCACCAAACATGCTCGCTCGTTCAGCCGTGGGAGAGTTATAATGTGACAGTCAATCGCACTATTCGTTAGCAAAAGAGTAGACTAAGGATTGGCGGTGGATGGTATTGACTAGATGCCTTCCCTCTATTTTATCACTTCAAATTTAGTGACAGCTAACCCAGATAAACTTCGAGTACCTTTGCGCGAAATTAAACAAACAAATAGTCTTTTCGAATAAAACGAATGATTCGTGACAAACTGAATTTAAATCTTTATGGTCGACTACATACTTTGAATTGTCAAAACACATTATTATTATTATAATTCTAGATATGAAAAAATACCTCCAAAATAATTCTGTAAGAAAATCACAATAATTATTGAAATGTTGAATTAATTTTACATTTACATCTTGTCATTGCTGTAAAGCTACAATATTAATTACTGCGTCGTAACTTTTTAATCTTAAAATGTGCTGTTCTAATTAAAATCCTAACGATGACCAGAAAATCATGTGTAGATTAGTCAGCATGCTCATTTGTTAAAATATGGCATCTTAATTATCTTTATAATTCATTAAAATATTTTTAAATGTATTTACGTCATCTCATAATAATCATAAACATCTTGCAACATCCGCCATGTTCTTTTTGTATTTATGGCCAAGACTAAGTAATTAACTTCGTCTGTTATATATTTAAAATGACATTACATAAAAAAATAATTGATGCAAGCTTTTCTACAAAATTGTTTACAACGATTTCATAAATTTTAGAGCAAATAATCATATATTTTGTTTCTCACGTTAAACATTTTAGTTTTTAGAATTCAGGAAGAAAACTTTTTAGTCTATGTTGTTTCGTTGCATTAAAATAGACAGGAAATATTCATTGTTTTTATGATTCGTTTATTTAGTAACACAATTTTATGAACGGGAAAAACACAATCGATTTCTTTACTTTTGAAACAAAATTTAGGTTTTTCTCTTTGTGATCTTCGAAGTTTAGAACATTAAAACTGACGCCATGGAACACGTACGTAATGGGATTAGATTTTACCTTCATGTACATCAACACGAACTTCATAAACCAAGACAAGTAAATGATTTATGTATTTATACTACTGACTGCTGAGTGTCGTGTTACTAAAACACTGATTTCTCACTACTGATTGTTACTGAACAACCGAATTAATGTTACTTATAGTTTTATGAATGTTATATTATTCTTAGTGTCATATTATCTAAATTTAATGGCTGAAATAGCATGGCCAATTTGTGTCTTGTTACAGAATGACTGAAATATTATTACCAATTTGTGCCATATTATTGAATAACTGGAATATTATCACCCACATTTGCCATATTATTGAATAACTGAAATGTTATTACCCATTTGGGCTATGTCATTGAATGACTGAAATATTATTACCCATTTGCACCTTGTTACTGAATGACTGAAAATAAAACAGTTATTACCTTGTATCACTTACCTAAGTGGTCTGAATATGTACTTTAATAATCTGTTTGAATTTATATTATATAGTTTTATTAATTTACTAGGCTTCTTCTAGTTACTGAATGTTTCTACTTCTTTCTTTCCCCTTCATCAAAGGGTAATGTTCAAACAGTAATTACTTGATTTCTATGTTTAGTTGCTAGGGAACCTGTGAAACTGCCTGTGATGGTTTACATTCATGGTGAATCTTACTTCTGGAACTCCGGGAATCCTTACGATGGAAGTGTCCTCGCTAGTTATGGCAACGTTGTTGTTGTTACCATCAACTTCAGACTGGGTGTATTAGGTGAGTAGAAACGTTGTTGCTGTTACCGATAGCTTTCTATTACCGAAAATATCAGACTAGATGTGTTAGGTGAGTATGGAAACATTGTTGTTGTTTTCAACGTTTGTTACCGTCAACTTCAGACTAGTTTGGTTAGGTGAGTATTGAAACATTGTTGTTGTTGCTGACAACTTCAGACTAGATGTGTTACGTGAGTATGACAGCTTTGTTGCTGTTACCAACAACTTCAGACTTTGTGTGTTAGATGTGGCTTTCGAACATTACAAATTTTACAAAAACTAATTTAAATTTCAAAACGTGAAGGATATGAAACAAAATATTATTTTTTAGGTTTCTATATACACATTTGTATAACTAAAACATCATAAATTACTACATTAATACCATAGAATTCCACTGATATATAATACTAAAATTTGAATAATAATCTACAGTTTGATACCAAAGTTATTGACATAAATTCATGAAATAGCTGTTCAATAAAGTTTTGAGTGCAAGTCAACAAACGAGATCGCATGACCTTTCACCCATGACCCGTCTCGAAAGGGTTACACCACCATTCCAAGTTTGCCCCTGAAGAAGAAAGGTCCATCTTTCGAAAGCGCTCGTGTTATAGAGCTTTTATTATCTTGTATCAAGATTTCTATAACCTCCAAGTTTTTCTGACATCATGAAGATAATTATCACTGATATTGGAATTCTGATGAAGAAACAACTGATAAAATCAGTCTCATGCTTAAGACATCAAACATTCTGAAGATAACTTATCAGAAACAGATTATTTTTATTTACAATTATACTTTAATTAATTTATTTTGTTTTTGTTTTGGCGTATTTAGTATTGTTTTATAATTGTTACAATGTACCACTGTAGGGTTATCAATCGACTTAAAAATCAAATAAGAGTTTCTCAAAACAGTCAACTTTTAAATAATCCTTATTTTTATTGAGCAGAAAATAAAAAATACCAAGGCATCTTAAGCTTGATGCAACATCTGATACCCATCAAAATAAGTATCTCAGAGGTATTTATATAAAAGTTTATCCAGCTTGTTACATTTTGATTTCATAAAGTAGCTTTTAAAATAAGCTATTGTTTGTCAGAATCCTTCATACAAACCCACGAGCAGTGAATGGGAAAAACGTGTTCCTTGTTGTTTATCTATGAAATTCATTCATTCAGGTTGCACAGTTAAGAAACATTATTTGGAGCAAGTAGCGCAATTCTTGCATAACATTAACTATCCATCACAAAACTATTTTTGTAACAAAATCAGTGTCTTTGAAAAATACAGTTGTTGATGAAATATTTTACTACATAAAATTAAATTTCTGAATCGTAAGTGTAAAATATTCTACTTTACGTATTCATTGTTCATCTGCTTAATATCATCAGTGATAACTAACAAAATGAACTTTACAAAAACACAATAGATTTAGGATTAAATCTTGAAACCCAAGTTCTTTCGAACTACGTTTTTTTTATTAATGCGTTAACACAAATGAGCTTGTAGGCCGTGATTTTGATACTTATTTAAGTTATTTAGACTTCTAAACAAGAAAAATCCCTTCACAATTACAGATTCATTATCACTGCCAGAACAATCAGTAGTAATTATTTGTATGTTCTAATCGCAAAAGATCTCAAATATTTCAAAAAGAATGCTTAAGTAGATACTATCAAGTTATAAAAATGAGAGATTCGGCACTAATACATACAATATCGGTGATAAAACAGAAAAATAAAGATTTATGACTACAGTAATTGAAGTATTTTACTTAAGTAGGTCTAAATTAAACATCAGATTACGTAATGTTAAAAACATTGTCAGTAATTTTTTGTTAATGAATACAGATATATTATGAAAAATCTCATCACAAGGCTTATTTACTTTCACCCTTAATAATTTTTTACAACAAATTTATATTTATTGTATTTACTTAACAACATATCAATACACTTCGGTTCATATGCCATTCAACAGATCCAAAATTCACGATTTAAACTTATTTATGGCTATAAAACTTCATACTTAACATAGTTCACAAATAATAGTTTTAACAAAATAGAATAGAAATTTCATTCTGAACGGAAAATGGGCTAAATGGTCGGACCAAAGACCTCTAGGGTTCAACTTTAGCAGTCACTAATTTTAAACAACTGACCAAAAGGAAGACAGATAGCCAACAACAGAGCTTTGTTCGGCTCTTCGAACCGAATAAAGAGATTGGGTCACATTATAAAAAGCCCATAGCTTAATGCGCGGAACATGTTCAGCTGTATCATATGTCGAACTTTGAACCTTTCAATCCGCATCCCTACACATTAATCACTAAGCCATGTCTGGCCCAACTATAATAAAGCTTACTAGTTTGTCGGTACATTACCTTCATAATCAATATAACTAAATATTTTATATGTATTTTCTTTACGAGGCAAATTTTAATTTAGAATTTTGTACTCGATATGAAATTTGAATGTGATCGCATATTTAATTCAGTTGAAGCAGTGAAATTGGTATGAATGAAAAATAATGATGTTTCTATTCTAACTATTTACAAGTATGAAGAGATGTACTATTCTTAACCACTTCTAATCTTCTATGTAACGATGTCAACTTAAACGAAATTATGCCAACGTAATTTATGCTGGACTCAAATAATTGCTGTTTCGAGTAACACCAGGCCTCGAAAACATAGAAGCTTTATTAATTAACAAAACGTTCACTTTACGAAAATCTAATTGAGAAATCCCAATTGCTCTAAAAGAATCTATTCGAAACAGTAATTTTGACTTATTATATCCTGCGAAATTCAACATTCCTGAGGTAATGAGTTTTAAAGACACATTATAACATCCTTGATGACTATTTTATAAATGTAAACTTTTCGCGTCCTTTAACTTTTGAGTAGAATTGGAAAATATTTGTAGATGGAAGGAATAAAGGGTTAATGGTCTGAGGTTTGAAATATATGATATTTGTTTTATAGGACTTATCCCCCTACCTCTACCAAATAACACTTTACTAACAAATAATGCAGAATAATGTCGCTAATATATTTTACTGGATACAACTAACTACGAAAATTAACTATATAAGTTCAAATTATAAAATCCAATTAATGTGAAATTAAATAACACGAATTTCATAATAGTAATTTTTTTTACATCAAATAGCTTATAGTAATAGTTACAGCTGTTGTTATGTCAATACCGAGATACAAACTGTTTGATATAATCGATATGTAAATTGTGAATTATACCATAAAGTATATACAAAAAAATGGCACATTTTTTTTAAACAAACGTTATTAATTAACACCAAAACTCCATAAAATCATTTGAAGTAGAAATAAATACAGCACAGTAGTAATCCTATGGATACATAGACACATACAATAAATCATCACAAGAAATGATGCATACATAAACTCTAAATATCACACTTTCAATTTGTGAATTCCAAAATATACCATTAAAATGTTCTACCAAAATATGTAGCTATATATTTACAGTGGTATAAAACTAACGTGCTGTTTTTCACATTTATTCATTTTGAAATAGTTAGATGTATACCATATTCAAGGCTTTTCAATAATTTATCTGTCACGTACGTTTTTCCACAATATATTTCCGAACACTTATTCATTTCTACTTATGCTTTTAAACATACTTTTCTAGTGTCTGTGTTCAAATCACAGATTTTTTGAAACTATTTACTTTAAGTATCGTTACATAACTTTCTGACAATAAAAACCCTGTTCAAATTATGTTTTCCTTTGTCTTTTCTTTGTGAAATTTTTTCGTTTGCACCTCCTTTTTTTCTTCGCATGTTTTAGCAGTATCACGTGATATTTTGAGTAGCAACGTTTAAACTACGAACTTATTCAAAGCTAAATATTGACTGCTAAAAATGTACTGTGTTTATTGTAACTCTCCTCTTCTTGTTCCCCCGATGAGTCAGGGGTAAGTTTACGGACTTACAATGCTAAAATCTCGAGTTCGGCTCCCCGCTGTAAGCAGAACGCTGATAGATCATTGAATGGCTTTCCGCTGTGAATAATAACAACAACATCTCTTAATTATATATGACAGGATAATTAGGCGCAGAATGATCCACTTCCTCGTTTAATTGTCTCAGTATACATATATGGAGTGGGGATTACAGACATATATTAATTTGTCGTTAGGTTTCTTCCCGGCGACGGAAGGCTCCGCCAGAGGAAACTACGGCCTCATGGACCAAGTAGCAGCTCTACATTGGATACAAGAGAACATACATGAATTTGGTGGAGATTCTCATAATGTAACGATATTCGGTCATGGCCACGGAGCCGCCTGTGCAAATATCCTTATGATAACTCCCATGGCTAAAGGTATTGGTTTCTTTTTCATATACTTCATTTACTATTTTCTAGGAAAAGCTATGGTAGACTGCAATTTAGAATCGTGTTTATGTATGAATCTAAGCAAGATGAGACTCCTCACGTTCACACTTTTGGTTAATAAATACTATCTAAGGTTTTATTTATTGTTGTGCATATTGCTGCCCAACTTATTACAACTAACACTTAAATGATTTGTTTACTTTTTTCATATAAAATTTTGCACAGTTACCAAAACGTTTTGCTTAGGGTTCTAAAGCGTTTTATTTAGAACAATTTAAGAATGTTTCCTTTCTTTCCATTTTGCTTAGCACCCGTCATAAGCATACAATTATTTCTAGCAAGAAGGTTTTCGCCTTCAATATGCCTTAAAAAAGTGGTATATAAATAAATCATAAAATTTCTATACGATGATCATTCAGTAAGGTTATAAATATGAAAGAGAGCTACGAGTGATCAAGGTTCTATAGAAATCTTCCTAATCATAAGGAGTGAAGTCTCTCCTTTTCTTATTCTGAGGATAATAATCCAATAGATGTCCACATCAAGTGATGAAACACCACATCTTATCTCAGCTTCATATATCTGTCAGAAATAGCCTAGTAGCTGTGTAACCATAGCAACAGTCTAAAGTAAACCTATAAGCCTGCATTCTAAACCAATCAATACTAAGTCATTTGCTCTCAGAGGTTAAGCTAAATATAATTGTTAGTATTGATATCGATTTTTACAAAGAATATATTTTTCAAGTTCAGTATTATCCTTTATTTTCACTATATTTCTCACAAAAAGTATTTTGTGCATTATGAGAGACCTATGCTGTGTTTTCTTCATTGTAAGCTTATGTATGACACATACTTTGCAAGTTGTTACATCTTTTGAAATATCTTAACAAACAGAAAATACTTGTATATAACGTTTGTTCATCTTAAGATGGAGCTTCAACGAAATCTCAAGACTTGTGCTTTATAAAATTATGTGAATACAATATCGAGAAGTTTCTAGGTTACTGAACACTTCACTTGTTGCCCAACCCTGATGCCTCAGCGGTAAATATAGGGGACTTATAGCACTTCATTTGACCGCTTGTAGACATCTGTTACGAAAGAATTACCCTCGGTCAAACACACTAAAAAGGTTAATTTTCAATTCTTCCCAAGTTAACAAGTGAATTAGCATGATTTCCTAAATAAATTCCAAAGATTTTAAATAATTATTTGACCATAAATAATAGAATATGGTGTTATTCGCATCACTTCGAGATACATACAGTAATTTAACAATTTTGATAATCATCAGTTACTCAAGAGATTGTTTGTTTGTTTTGAATTTCGCGCAACGGCCCGGCATGGCCAGGTGATTAGGGCGCTCGACTCGCAATCTGCTGGTCGCGGGTTCGAATCCCCGTCACACCAAACATGCTCGGCCTTTCAGCCGTAGGGGCGTTATAATGTGACGGTCAATCCCACTATTCGTTGGTAAAAGAGTAGCCCAAGAGTTGGCGGTGGGTGGTGATGACTAGCTGCCTTCCCTCTAGTCTTATACTGCTAAATTAGGGACGGCTAGCGCAGATAGCCCTCGTGTAGCTTTGCACGAAATTCAAAACAAACGAACAAACTTATAGACCTTTGATTTTTCATGAGTTACGAAAGGTGCAAGGTTTATATAAAATATGTATATGGTTGATATAACAGTAGCAATGACAGACGTCGATGCAGAAAATGATATATTTTTTCTGTGAACTTCAAAGGTTAACAACTGCTGTTTTGTGTTCTCATTTCTAGTTAATTCAAAATTAAACACTTAAAATATAAATTTGTTCACTATTCTCATTAGTTTAAAATTTTTCAAATTTTTATGATACATGTTCTAGTCACTAGTCAATTAGACAATTTAGACTTGAGAAAGTTAGGGTACTTACTGAATTTGTTTGAGATGCCACATTGTTTCAGTTTAGTTATAAATAAATAACAAAGGTTTGTTAAATTTTAAAAACTTAAACTAGTTTTTGTTATTTATTTGGAAGTAACCTGAAACAATCTAACACAATTATCATAAATATAGTCAGTGTTCTAAATTTTGCAAGTCTAAACTGACTACTGACTAGAACATAAACTTAGAAATTTTTAATTTACCTGATCAGTTGGTTTCTCAACTCATGTTAATATTCAGCCATATTCTTAAAATAAAAGGTTTTTCCACATGATTATTTTTTGCTGTTGCAAGTGTTCTCTCCAAAAGATCGATCACATCTCTTCTGTTACAACTGATATGATCTTTCATCTTTGAATCTATCACTTAGAACATGTCACGTAAAAATTGCTTTCTGTTTAGGTGACTTTTGCAGCATCTGACTACAGCAGGGACGACAATACCATACATGAAAAACAACAAAAAACACTTGGGTTCGAGCTTAAAGTGGTACAGTAGACAGCTAAGTACATTTTGGGGACACTAAACATTTGGCATGACTGTTGCTCGTTGACATAATCTTCAGTCTTAAATTCTTAGAGTTTGTTTGTTTGTTTTTTGAATTTCGTGCAAAGCTACACGAGGGCTATCTGCGCTAAATTCTTAGAGATTGTACAATTTGACTTATTCGTGGATGCATCAGGAGTAGAGTGTGGAGGAAGAGCGTAGTTTGGATCACTTTTACCAGTTTCAATGTCATCTGAAGGGAGATCATCAGTCGTAGAGTATTTGAAATAATAATACTGTTGATGGCATCTATACCAAATACCATCATATTCAGCAAAATGTCTTCTGCCTTTCACCAACCATGATATGTACCTCTTTTCTTTGCTCTACACTTCATGTGAATTACAACATATTTGTACTCTTTCGGCATAACTGAATGGTGTCTCGCTAACAATACTTCAGCGTGAGCCTTATAAACCACCCTGCAAGCAAAGTGGCAAATATTATTGGTTCCATAATTATAAAAATGTCTCAATTCCATTGTAACCTTTAAAGTGTAATTACGACAATGGATCTGCAGAGCAAGTTGCACATCCATTAGTTCATACAAAGGGTGCACCAAAGATGAGTATATTTGTTTCAGTGGTAACCTTTGGACGATGTACTTTTGCATCACAAAATAAAATAAACACTTCCAAATGTGACAAAAGGCAGGTCTTGGCACTATAATATAATTTATAGTTTTATTACAAAGTAGCTAGTGTTATGCAAAAACAATATCACCTTATAACTTCTAATAACGATTACCAACACACCGAAGACTGAAGTTAATTAAAGATGGCGCTCACATTAAAACTGGGTACAAATTAGGTAAAATGACGAGAAACTGAGTGAAATTACGCAAGTTGTTTTACATAGGATCCGATACACATGGGAAAAAAATATTCTAGGGTTATTTACGTTAGCCAGATTCCCTAATTTTGAAGTAATAGACCAAAGTGAAAGCAGCTGGTCAACACCTTCAACTCTTGGGCTGCTCTTTACAAAGAAAAGTGATATCGATAGACACATTAGAACGCCCCCACGATTGAAAAGGCTAAAATGTTCGGTGACAGTATTTAAACCCGCGATTCAATGATTCAGAGTAAACACCCTAACCACTAGGCCATGCAAGGAGTAGATGACGATGATGTGACAATAGACAAGTTTATTTTTGTAAATATACCCTATAGTGAAACAACTTCCATAGCAAATACTTATTTGTGGTTGTTACTTGTAAAAAAATTCTCATCTTATAGACCCTTGTTCTTTTCATGAGTTACAAAAGGCGCGAATTATATTAAATATGTATATATATAAGGTTGACGTAACTCACAAGTTAATAATTTCAAAACAATATTATTTTAACTGCTTACATTGTATTCCTATAACGTGTACAAACCATGATTGCTAATTCTAAGTTATATAAAATATTTTATGAATAATATTATTTACCAATTTTTCTACAAAATGTTGTTCAAGATTTTGTTGAAAAAACAAAAACAACAACATAAAGAAGGCCATATTAATGTGTAAAAGTTGAGGCTACTTTATTAGATAGACATACATTAAAATATCCAAGACAGACTAAGCACGGATAACCCACTGTGCAGTTTTGGGCTAAAATAAATGTTAAATTATTTTTTTATAACTGATTTCACTTCATAATATAGCAGCTTCTCACAGGTTATTACTCTCATGATGACCTATAGATGGCGCTCTAGTAATAATGTACAAGGAGCTTCATCACACAGTTTCATACGTTTAGGCGTGTTAATGTAGCGTTGTTTGGTGAGTGTTGCTGTTGCTGAAGAAAAAGATAAAAGATATTTAATCTTGAAAATCTTCACCATTTCCCAGACGAATAGTGAAGATGACCACTCAAGATCCAGGTAAAAATATTATATTGAAACATATTTTGCCTTTGGTTACTGGTATCATAATTATACGTTTTTTCTTGTTTTGTGAACTGTAGTTGTACTCGTTTACAGGTTCACTGACCTAGGTAGTGGGGCTCACGGCCTTCTAACTAGTCAGATGGTATTCTTTTGTTGGCGTGGCTAGCGTTATGATTTAAGTTATGATGTCTTCGACACGGATTGCTGTATAATTTCGCCTTTAATTTTACCACTTATTCACTTTCATTAGATCTATTAATTGTAATTTGTTTTTTTTTAGATCAAGAAGGATCATAGCATTTTAACTTCAGATTTTGTGACTCATTCCATGATTTTTATCTCCTATCTGAAAATTGTTATTTACAACAAAGAAGTAGAGACCTGGGTCATATTACTTTATAATAACTTCGATAGAATAAATTACAAATATAAGAACTTTATTCATATAGTGTTTTCATAATAAAATGAACGGCTATTGTCTGCAGTTACTAGCGCACATAAATACGTTGTATATGTGTTCATTTGTTTAAACTTCTGTGATGATGACAATCTAATGTTGTCACACCGCAGGTGTTATTTTCACGCAATCATGAAAACACAAAAGTCAATATTCATTTTAGAGACAATCAAAACAGA